GCCCTGGCTCTGTTAAACTCACAAGTGAGCCAAGAGGGGCCTCATGTCACTGAGCCCCTGCAGTATTGAGCATTTCATATCTGTCAGCCATGTAATCCAATACAAAGCACACTGGTGGGTGCACGGTGATGCCGATGAGTTCACACCACTGGGTGCCACTGTACCCTAGGTGCTGGGGATACAGCAGTGAGCAGTGAACAACACTCCCTTCCTCTGTGGGGCTTACATGAATGAAAGAACAAACATGTTGGTGTCAAGAAGCTGTTAATATTTCCATTTTAGAAATGCAAAAATAACATGCAAAGAGCCTCCTGCTGCAAGTAGTAGAATAAGGATTTTATCCCACACAAAGGGGGGCACCAAGTGCTTTGCACACCAGGACCCACAACCAGCACCCAGTGTGTGCATGTCTGGAGAGACGTCAGCTGATGGTAGTCATGTCCTAGTTTAACCAGCGCCCTCCCTCGCTTCTTCCACCCCAGCCCTGCCCACCCCTTTCCAGCGGCCTGAGAGCCGCAGCACATGCATTAGAAGGGAGCCCCAGACCACCCCCATCCCCTCCCCCATGGTGGTAGTCACTTAGCCAAACCAGCGTACTCACCAGAGGATGCATCGGGTCACGTAGCCCATCAGCGAGAAGCCAAGTCATCGCCGCGGTGGAAAACCATGGAAGCAAAGGAACAGCAGTGAGACATAAGGACAGCCATGAACATCTCTGGGTCCCCTGGGCCTGGGCCACAGGGAAACCCTGTCTTGCCTCTGCTTCTGGGGAGTGTGGGGCAAATATCCTCTTAGTCAGCAAATGGATAGTCACCCTGCCCATCAGGCCTCCCAGGGCCCTGCCCCCTGAGGGCAGTGGAATCTGTGGGCAAAAATTAACTGAGCACTCCTGTGTGCCAAGTGTCAGGGATATGAAGAAGATAGACCTGTGCCCGCCCTCACTTTGCCTGTAGTGCTGTAAAGAGGCAGTCAGAAACAATAAGTCGCAGCTGCCTAAGGGCTTCCAGGAGGCGACTTCACAACTTGGGGTCACACCCTGGCTCGACTGCTGACTAGCTTTGTGATGTTAGGCCCATTCTTAGCTTCTCTGTGTCTGTTATTCGTCTATTCGTCTATAAAATGGGGATATTATTCATGCCCACCACCAGGGAGTGAGAATTAAATGAGTTAATATATGTAAAAGGGTTTGAATGATGCTTGACAAAGTAAATGGTCCATGATCGATAGCCACCACTCTTACAGGAAGCTGTCACCATGGGTTCCAGAGGCACTTCACGTGGGTGAGGCCACCAACTAGTGAAAGGCAGAGATTAAAGGAGACAATAGAATGACTGTGAACCCTGAACCCAGTGCCAAGCCAAGGCAACTACTCAGTAAACATACGTATCTTGAGTTGCTCTGCAGTGTGCCCAGGGCAAAGCATCTGAGCAAAAGGGCTGTCAGGGGTGCCTTCTCCCCACAAACACATCTAGATTGCACTTTGCACTGAAAAGCCACCAAGCGCACGCTCACCTGATTCTCCAAAAGCCCTGTCTCCTGACTTTTATAGTAATCCAGGGAGTGGACAAAGGTGGGGTCCTTACTGTCCCTACTTTGCAGATGAGGACAGTGAGGTGGAGGGACCGCTCTCTGTTCTCAGGCACGTTACTTCACCTCTCCAAGCCTCGTTAGGAGGAGAGCCTGGATTCTGTTCTCCAGGTCCTTCCTGGCTTCTCCCGCCACCCTATGCCACCCCCAGACTCCACAATAATCGCTGTATAGCCCCAAATAAGTCTCGGAAGCTCCCCAGACTCAGTCCCTTCATCAAAATAGTTGTGGGATGACCAATCCAAAGTCGATGCTGTTCCTGAGCCAAACTTGTCTTTGCCAGGCTCAACCACTGTTCTCCTAACTCTTCCTCTAACCCTTTACTCCATTGCTGACCGCAGCCAGTGTGGTCAACTACTAAAGTCCACGTTTTAAAGGTGGGAAAACTGAGACCCAAAGTTGGCCAACTACGCAATGCTGCCTTAGGTGAGGCTGACCCAAAATGCTCCTTTTGTTCTTTTCCCCCCAACTGGACCCAGCGGCCACCTGCACAGCCTGTTTCTAGTTCCTCAACCTGAATATCTCAAAGTTCTGAGCTCACCCAGCAGAGGTCAGGCAAGTTCCATGGGAAAGGGCTAGACAATGTGTGTGCTTCTGTACCTGCAGGGTGGAGACTCCTGCACTTTGGCGTCAAAAAGACCTAAGTTTTAATCTCAGCCACTTCTTAGCTATATGACTTTGGTCAAGTCAGCTGACCTGGAGAACTTCTGTGAAATAGAGATAATGTATATTCCTTCCTGAGGTTGCAAAGTTGCATTACATAGTAACACTACATGTTAAAGGCTTAGCACAGGGATCTCCACCTGAGCACATTAAGTGCTCAAGAAGCCACAGCTCTCCTGATATGAGAATTAATGTCAAGAACAGGACTTGGGGGACCATCATCCTTGACCTTGTCCTTGACCCATTCTTTTAGGAGGTGAGGGAGGGTGGACTAAGCCCCAAATCAGATCCTAACAGTTATAATAGTGGGTACTAGAAGGCCCTTAGCGACTCCAGTTTCATCTCTCAATTCACAGAAAGAAAAACACCCAGAGAGAAAAACACCCAGTGACCAGCCCACATACAATAAGAGTCCTGTCCCTTGTAATAAACATCAGAATCTTAGACCCTAGGGAAATTCTGAGTGCCTCCCCCCCTCCTGTGGGGGGGGGCAGGAGGGGGGAGTGGGAGGTGACTATCGGAAAGATGTACTCTGCAAACCCCAACAAATCTCAGGCCACTGTCACCTCTACAGCAAGCCCTTTGCTAGCAGTGTGGCTGACAAGCCTGTACAGGGCACACAGCAGGTGTTCAGTAAAGGTTTGGGAACAACAGCTTGAGGTTCCTCTCAGTTCCACAGCAGCTCTGCTCAGACTCCCCACTCCATGCGTCTCTCCTTACATCTCCCTTATTCTCTCCTATCCTAACCTCTGTCTCCCCCTGCAACCCAGGGCCCTTCAGCTGGGCCCAACCTCAGCCAGCAGAGCTCCCCGCCACCAGAGGCTATATACAGCATCAGCATCTTCCCAGCCAGCCTGGGATATTCTTCCCAGCACAGCCAGGCTACTGGCCAGGGTCCACTCTGCAGAGGGGGTGCCTGCCCTGCCCTGCCTGGGGCCCTACCCTCAGTGGCCAGGGTGAGGGGTGGGGGTGGGTGGGGCAGCCTGGGAACCCTAGAAGCTTCTGTTGGCACCTGGGACTTACAAAGCCAGGCCAGCCTAGTTTAGGAAATACAGGGATGAGCCCATTAGGAGACAGTTGGGTGTGGGTCCTCCTCACCTCACTGAGTATTGCCCACACACCCAAGCACTCCACCTGTTCCCTCATTACGGAAATCTGCCAGGCCCAGCCTTGCTCTCCTGTATATACAGAGAAAACCTCTGGGCTTCCCCACTCCATTCCCTTCTTAAAACATGCCACTGGCCTACTCTCTGATCACTGTGCACTCATCACCTTGATTGATTCTGCTAATACCTGTAAGGGCTAGATAATCGACTAAGGCGGAACCTGGGGCTCAGAGAGGTGAAGTAACTCATGCAAGGTCACACAGCAAGGAAGTAACAGGGCCAGGATTCAAATCTGCTTCTGCTGCATGGGAAGTCTACAGGGCACTGGATGTCTGGCTTCCCACCTTCCCTCCCTCTATTGGAGCTGGATCCCCTCTTTCCAAGCATTCCACCTTCCTCTGCAGAGTCTGCCCTCCTCCATTCCTAGTCAGAATTAACAGTTTCACCTGTTACCTGTGGTAACATCTTGTTTACAAGCACCAAACAGCAACAGGGTACAGGGATTATTTCTGAAGTGTCTGTTTCGCCCTCTCCCCTTTGGTATTTGAGGACCTGACACCAGGCAGTTCCCACCGGCTCTCCCAGATGCCCTAAGTGTCAACCCCAGCCAGGCTCTGCCCAAGTCTCCTCCTTAGGGAGAAAATGGTTCCAAAGCAGAGAAGGGGCCAACATGGACCCTAGTCCAGGGGGTCACATTCAGCCACTCCCTCCCAGGGAAGCAGAAGGCCCAGAAACAACCTCCCCAAGCCTGCGAGGATAGTCATCCCTCCCCCACTCCCCGCAGGGCAAGCTTAAGCAAGGGTCTGTCTGGACACGTCCCCACCTCCACTGCTGGAGGCGTGAAGTCCGGTCCCACCCTAAAACAGTGGGATCTGCCAGAAAGTGTAGGTGAGGGTCAGTAAACTCTGGGGGAAAGGTAGGACAAAAAGGGGGCGACTGGGACGCACAGAGAGGAGCAGTGAGAGATCGGGGAATCGATGGATGAGGGCAAGCAGGAACCCGAGCCGACAGAGGGAAGTCCCCTAGACCAATCCTGGAAGGGAATGTGTGGGGACGGGGCGGCGACTGGAGGGTCACCCTGGCGAACGGAGCTGGCGCCAGCTCGCGGGTCCCTTAGTCCGGAAACTCAAAGTCAGTTACGTAAGGCCCCGAGCGGGGCGCGGGGCTCCAGGCCTGGGTGCCCCCTCCCGCTGCGCGCCGCCAGCCAGCCGGCAGGCTGTCCCCGCGTTGCGGCGGCCGCACTGGAGCCGGACAGGGCGGGGTTGCGGGGAGGTGGGGGCGCGCGGCTGCACCACTCCGCAGAGAGCCGTCCGCGGAAACCAAAGCCGGGACCCCTGCCCTAGACAGGCCCGGGACTGGCTGGGACCCCAGCGGCAAGCTTCCAGCTCAGGACGCGAGTTCCAGGACCGTCTCCCCTGGCGCCATGCCCCTCCCCGGACCCCAAACTTTGAGAAGCCTGGTTTCTCTGGACCCCTAGTTAGAATCTTGGAGCATGAGACCCTTTAGGGCCCCTCCCTGGACATTTAGACCCTCGTCTCGCCCCTCCCAGAACAGCCCCAGCCCTGGGGAGTGAGCCCATCTGTCAGTCCCTCACCCCGTTCTTCCCGGGAACCCGCGACCGACCCCCAGGCGGCCCAGGCTCACCTGAGCTGGACGGGGCGGGAAGCCGGCCCGGCCGCGTCCTCGCTCTCTGCAGCTCTCGCCCTTTAAGAGGTTCCTGCCACTTTGCCCCGCCGGGGGCCTCCACCTGCACTGACAGGGCAACTCCAGCTTGAGGCTCCGCCCCCTACCCGGGAGGCCTTTTGATTGGTGCAGGCAACTGCCAATTGACGGGGCGGTGGCGAGGCCCGAGCGGAGGAGTGCGGGAAGGGGCGGGGGCTGCAGGTGCGGCCTGACGGGGCGCCAAGCTCTGGGCTGCACGCTGTTGGCGGAGGGGTCAGGCGAGCGCTGGGCAGGAAGCTCCTAGATTGGCTGGTGTGGTCTCTGACATCAAATGGCAAAAGTATGATGCAATTTGCCACGTGGTATTGCCCCTAAGGGCAGGAAAGGAAGTGAAAAGGAAATTAGTGGGGGGAATGGGGAGGAGGAGGAGAAACTAAGAGAAGTGACCCTGGCGAGACTCACCTGGAGCACTTATTCACCGCTTCCTCCTGTGTGACCTTGAACAAGTCACTTCTCGGAATGAGTTTCCTTCACTATAAACCTAATGTTTTCCTAAGAATTACGGATTTACCAAGCACAAGACTGGCACACATTAGGTAGCATTCAGTAAATGTGGTTTCTGGTTCCTCTCATCTCCATCATGATTCTTCAGGGACTCCCCCTCCTGATGACCCACCCCATCAACAAGCGAAGGGCTTCCAGGGTCACTGATAGGTCCAGTGATCTATCTCATTTCAGATATGTGCTCACATACCTCCAAGAACAGTAAGCTCACTACCTCCGGGACTTCTTCCCTTAAAAGAGCCTTTCATGCAGCAGACCTCTCCTGTCCAGCCTGCTGCTCCCCTCAGCAATGTGTTTCAGTCCATCTGCCTGTTCTTCTCCTGACTCTGTCTCTGGCGAATCCTCTCATGCCCCGTACCCCTGGCCTGTACTCCAGTTCTTGTATGCACAAATAAAAAATCTTTAAAATTAATTCATTAAAATAAATTTAAAATAGTCCTAAGATTTCAAAAGTTCTTCCTAATAGTAACACCAAATTTGCCCTCTAACTTTAACACAAACTTGATGCCTCTTGTAGATTCCTGCGTGTTGAAGAACTACAGAACATAGGACTGGAGAATATTTCAAGCTGGCAGGCCCTTTTGGGGCCATTTGGGGGACCCTGGCTTTCTGAGTTCAGTGGATTTCCTATTAGATGGGCTTGGGAATCAGACTGCGAGGGTCTGAATCCTGGCCACCACCACTTACTAGTTGGGCCCTACTTTGAGTGAGCAATCTCTGCAAAATGGGCTAATAAGAGTATTTCCCTTAGGGTTGTTGTGAAAAAATATGTAAAATAATCCGTGTAAATTCTAAGAACAGTGCCAGTCTCAGAGCAAGCATCTGAGACTAGCTTTTATTTATGCTAGCATTTATTATGATTATTGGTATTGATATTATCACAAGGTTGCACAGATATGTAATGTATTGAAACCTCCTCTTAGTTAAATCTTGTTTTAGGTTTCAGGGCACTGATTTCTGCCTTCAAGAAACTCAGTCTAGCAGAGGGGGGCTTGTCTGAGCTCCCTTCATCTCAGGGGAGCAGAGTGCACCCTAATATAGGTTGGGCAGGTGCCACGGTACCAAAGAAGCTTTAGTTCCTTCAACCAGAATCTGGATACTTGTGATCCTCTCATGCCCCCGACCCCCCGTGGGCCCTACCAAACCTGACATGGACACCCAGGCTCCCCAATATGTTGAGACACCTTTCTCTTAGCCATTTATTCCCCTGCCCACTAGGTATACTGCCCAGTGGTTGAAAGCTTGGGATTTCCAGATAGTTAAGTCTGGGCCCTGCCTTACTTTTTTTTTTTTTTTACCAGCTTTGTACCTTTAGACAAATCACTTTCCCTCTGGGTAAAACAGGATAAATAATTGTCCCCGGTTGACAGAGTTGTTGCGAAAATTAAATAATAGTATTTGAAAGTACCTGTGCAAATACCAGTAATACATCTAGAATTATTTCTTAATTGTTCCCACATGCATTCATGCACCCAGGAGAGATTAGGCTGTGAACGCCTTGATTTCGCCTCTGCAAACATGGGTTTTCTCTCTCCTCCCAATTCCACTCTCCTCCTCTCTCGAAGGGGCGGGGCGAGGAGGATCCCCGAGGCGCCCGGATCGCCCAGTCTAACCAGCGCCGCTGGCCCCGCCCCCATCGGGGCGGGCACGTGGCTGCCGCTCGCCCCGCTGAGCTGCCTGTGCGTGACTCAGCAGCGCCTGCGCCTGCCCGGGCCTGATAAGTGTGGGTCTGTGACCGAGTGGCTGTGAGGGGTGGCCGGGGAGGGCTCGGGGTTCCTGGGTTTGTGCACGGAGAGTACTTCTGGGAGTGAGTTTGTGATCTGAAGCTTGTGTGTCACTCATCTGTGTTATTTGTGTCAAGGGGGAAGAGTGGCGGTTACCTGTGTAGGTGAACTTACCTGGAAGATGAGACTCTGTCTCTGTGTCATGTAAACAGGTTGCCCCTGGGATCAGGCTAAAGGGGGCTGCCTTGCTACTTCTTAAGGTGACTTGTGCGCGTGTGTGGGTGCATGAGAATGTGGCCCTGTGGGTGCCTGGTGTAGGGTGAGAGTGGGGTACTGTTCTGCCTGAACTCCAGGGCCCTGCCTCCCCCCACCCAACCCCTCCTGTGAAGTCCTACCTCTCCAGACCGCAGGGAGCATTTGCTACCTGGCCCACTCCTTGGGAGGGAAGACTCATAGGAGGCAGCTCATGTTAGCCTCTCTCATCTGATCTCACTGAATCCTCACACCAAATTGTTCTGAAGACTCACTCACAGAGCTAGAGCCACAGCCCAAGGTCACCCTGCTCCTAGTAACTGAAGGTGTGATCTCCCTCCTCTGAGCACCCAGTCTCTGCCTGGGACCTGTGGGGAATTGATAAGCTGGGGGTTGGGAGGGGGCAGAGGAATGACCCTGTTTGTGTCCTCCCCTCCTTCTCTGAGCTGCCTGGGCCTCCAGCCAGCTCCTTATCCTGGCAAAGCCTGGGCTCTGACACAAGCTTCATTGGGTGATTGGGTCTCCAGCTGAGTGATAAGAGGTGGGGGGGATGGGAAGCAGGGCCATATGGAAGCATCTGGTCCTTCAACAAAATCTTACTAGCACATTACTCAAAACTCACTGATCTTCTGCTCAGTCTAAGAGGAAGAGTCTAAGAGGAAGGGTGTGCTGCAATCTGCTGCTAATTTGAATCCTCCACTATTTATGGGGTGTGTGACCTGATCAGTCACATTCTCTCTTAGCCCGTCTCCTTGTCAGTCAAATGAGGTGAGGACACTCTCCCTGCCTGCCTTCCTGGCTCTAGGACACTAAAAGAGAAAGCCATTTGTAAAATGTGAGTTGGTCTCCACAGAACTGTTGTAATTTATGGCCTCCTTGGAGGAAACTGAAGCAATTGTATACCCAGAACCCAGACAAGGGAAAGGATCCCGAATGAGAGATTAGGAAGGCTGCCAGGAGGAAGTGAACTTCGTTTTTTTGTTTTTTTGAAGAATTATTTTATTTATGCATACAAGCACTGGAGATAGAGGGGTGAGAGTGGGGAGCAGAACAGGCAGAATGATGAAGTATACTGCTGAGGGCAGCAGGTGAGACAGGAAAGTTCTGCTGGGCCATGTGTGTCACCTCCCTGGCCGGGGATCGAACTCCTTTTGCAGTGGCTGCAGATAGCTTGATAGCACTGTCTTTAACCCCTGTGCCACCGGGGAGGCCCCAGTTTTTTTTTTAAGAATGAATGTACTAGATGACATTCCTCCAAGGGAGATATGGAGGTTGGCAGGGATGGAGGAAAAGCAGCCAGATGCCCCACACCAGGCATAGGCACAGAGGTGCCCACTATTATGGGCTCAAAAGGAATTGCTTTAGGTTTGATGCAGGGGAGAAGAGGCCAATCAGGCCAAGAGAACACCTTCCCAGGAAGGTGCCTCCCCGGAGGCTGTTGAGAGCAGCAGTTGCCATTGGTTGTGGGCTTAGGAAAAATCTTCCAGCACTTCACTAATTTGTTCCCACACTGTGCCCCTATTTTACAGATGAATAAAATAAGGCTGAGAGCGGTGAAGTGATCTTGAAATCACAGTCATTAAATGGCAAAACCAGGACTCCAGCTCATTTCAAGAGCTGATGGGGAAGACTGAGATTCTGGCCATGAGGGTGGTGGTCTCCCCGCACCTGGAGAAGTTGGTTCCGGGAGAAGGAAATGTGGTGTCTGCTGCCACCTGGTGGCCAAAAAGCTACCAGGCCAGGTGCCTGGCTGAGCTGTCCAGGCTGCCCGTGGAGCTGTGCGACTGGGCTGTTTTTATGTACTGGACCTTATTTTCACCTGAGCTTAACACATCCCTAAATAACCCCATGAAAAGTTCACTTTATACATGAAGAAATTGTCCTATTGACGTCACCCAGATGTGGTCAGTCCAGATGGACACACCCTTGCAGCCAGGCCTGGGGGCAGGAATGGGAGACAGAGAAAGGACCCTAACCCAGGCTCCCCTAACTCAGTCTGGTCATCAGGTATATATAGACTGAATTTTAAAACTTTGAGGGCTAAGATTACCTTAGAGATCAGCTAGCCCAAGTGAATGTCAAACTCACAGGATATGGGGAATGGAGGGAAGCAGGGATGTTCTGAGGAAGGCAATCAGGGAGTGGGGGCGTACCAGGGCCTGGGGGGATCCATTTGCTTGATTGCCCCCTGCCCTTCTAAGGAAACTTGCATTGTAAGCAAGCCTGCTGCTTTCACAGAAGCCGGGCAAGGGTAAGAGACTATGGTGAAGGGTAAGTAAGAGCTGTGGGGAAGGCCCAGGCCGCATTCAAACCGAGGTCTGCTGGACTCCAGGGTCGAGGCTGTCTTTGCTCCACCTTAATGCTGGGGGACTCAAGTCCCCCTGCTGTCTCTGGATTCCGCACAATCAGGGTGGTCAAGAGCTCAAAGAGGTCCCGGAGCCCATGACAGAGGAAGAGTGGAGGGGCCCTTTGGAGCTCCACTCTGAAGCGAGGGCAGAGGTTGGGCTTTCATTCACTGCTCAGCTTCAGTGTCAGC